TTCCCCAATCTTCAAGATGTGTTTTCTACCTTAATGATAAAAGAGTAGCAGTCTAGAAACATGCAGAGACTAAGACATTTCTACTATAGAGATAGATCTTTAACAGAAAAGAATGAATAGAAAACGTGCAGCTTGATCTGAACAAGCAAAGGACTGATGACAGCAGACCCTCATTTTCAGATCACATGTCATTTGCTCCAAGGTAAACAATAGACCTAGGACATGACCATCCTTGAGTTGGGCTGAAATAACTTGAAAGAGTCCCTTGGTGGTCATGAAGTTCTGAGCAACTCTGGACCCAACCTAAGAACATGGAGATTCAAGTACCCCAGCACTAAAAATGTTAGAAACTCCACCAGGAGCTCAGAATGTCCATTGCTGGCCAGGAGGGTAAACAGAACACCAGCAACAGCCCTAACGTGTCCCTACACCCCAATTTAATATAGGCTTCAGATACATAGTGTTTCATATTTCTATTATATAGTTGCTCACCTTAAAACAACTCCAGGTGGCTTGCAACCAATAAAACAATATAAAACTGACAGCAATAAAACTAAAAAGAGAAAAACCTGGTGCCACAACCATACTTCCCTGATGCAACCCACATTCTCATCCCACCCTGACCTTGCCCTATCCCAACACCTGGGGGAAGAGCCAGGCCTTGAGTGCTGTCTGGAAGGATAGAAGGGTAAGGGCCTGTCGGATCTCAGGGGAAAGGGTGTTTTATAGGGCAGGGGCTGCAACAGAAAAGGCACGCTTCCAAGAACCCACAAAATGGCAATGTTTAAGGGAAGGGACCTGGAGCATGTCTACCCTATTCATTCTGGTGGGATGGGCAGCTAGCAGCAGTGGGTAGTCAGGTGGTCAAAAGGCAGTCATAAATGGAGACGGGCCCAAGTGGACCCGAATTTTGTTCACATGACCACTGGGCGCTGCAACGGCCGGAACTTCGAGGACCAGTCATAAGTCCATTCGTTCAGCGCCATCGTTAACTTCAAATGTTCACTGAATGAATGGATGTTAAGCAAGAACTACCCATAAATTATAATGAATAATAAGGAATGTTATTCTGGCTTCATAAAAGCCTGCAAAAAAGAAGAGTTTTAAGGGCCTTTTTAAATTTCAGGAGATTTGAAGATACACAGTATCAGAGGGGGAGTTGAGTCCAGAGAATAGGAGCTAAATGAGAGAAAATGCTAAAATATAAGGTGGCAATTTTAACATGAAGGAAGCTAATTGACCTTGATTGCACAATGAAGCTCAGCATATGATTTTTTAATTTAACTTATAAGTTAACTTTTAAAGTTAAGGTAAGAATATTTCAGTGAATCTTCTGCAGAGATTTTGTGGAGTTTTGTTGCTGTTTTCCTCATCACCTTTCTGATATGAAGTATGCTGTGTTCATCTTGCATTACCAAATAGGAAAGTAAATTACTGTGTTTATCATTTATTATATATACATATTTTCTGCATATGAAATAACAATGGAAGCACTTACATGTTTATTGTTGATGGCTTAATAATTTTTAATATTGAACTGTTTGTGTTTTTTAGAAAAATGTTGATGTATTTTGCTAAACTATGGAACACTGATGACATTGGAGAACTTCGAAGATGGAAAAGTGTGTCTGAAATAGATAATGATTTCAGCCAATTTAAAAATTCCAGAGAGCCTGCCAACTGAAAATGGAAATAGCATAGAAGGTTTAATAAATTCTCACAAAAAGAAATGGATGTACATAAAGTGAAATTTTAGATCACTTATGGATATAGTGATAGATTTTTAATAACAGTGCCTGTTTCACATAATCATTTTTGGTGTTTAATTTCTGTAAACTAACTTCAAGAATGAGTTACGTAGAACAGAATTCCTAAGCTAAAATGGTATAGCTATCGGGAGCTCCAAGTATCCCCCACCCCAAGTTAAAAGCAATTTACAGGGCCTTTCATCTCATTCTATTTTCATAATGAAAATTATGTAATTTTCAATAGAAGAGAATATTGGCATTTGGAGAGTGGAAGAGAAATGTACAGGTAACCAAAAGGTACCTCTGTGTTATTTCTTCTCAGGATAACAGCTTGGTGGGGGAGTTTGTTTAAGAAAATGCATGGAATATGAAGCTTCTTTTCCCCAGTACCATGGTGCAATTTAGTTTGGGAGATATCCATAGCTGTTTTTACTTTTAAACCAAGTGACATAGTACACCAATACACAGAGTTCCAGTTACCTTGTCAGGCTCTTGCGACTAGAAATAATTGCAAAATATATGTTTTACATGATGTCATCTTGATGCAGTCAAGGTCAGTCATTAAAGCAAAAATGGTCCATGTTGTATTATTTAATTTCAGTGGATGTTTTATACTAAATTCCAATTTTTAATTTTTCAAATTGCTTCCTAAAATCTGGTGACTTTATGTGCTGAGAATAAAAAAAAATTGTTACATTCTTCTATATTATGTCTCCAGACATCAGATTTCCCCCCCAAAACTATTCCTTAGTATATACCTGAAAAGCTTTTTCCTACTTGATGGATAATTATGATTGTTGATGGCAATATGAAAATTATATAACTATAAATTATATTAAAATAAATGTCTATTTATACACGGCTGTAAAAGATGTGTTCATTTCTAAAACAACTAAAACAGAAGAAGAATAAATTATTTCTTTGGGTTTGATAGATGCAGAAGAGATTATTATAGAATAGAACAGAATGATATTTTCATATTTTATATTACTGTCCTTTTTTAAAAAGTGAATTGGTCTTTGTCATTCCTGAAGAATAATCTGCAGATTAGAGGTAACAATCTGCAGTCAGTGGCAGTTACAGTTCAGTAACAAAGTGTGGGCGGGGATGGGTGGGAAGGCTATATATATGAGTATGCCTGAATACATATGCACTGGCGTGGTTTGTGAACCTCCAGAAGGCACTATGTACAGCCCTCTGAGATAAAAAGGTAAACTGGAAGCTCTCATGCCCAAAGTTTTCTTTACAGTCTTGCTCATAATTTGGGAGGTAAAGAGCATAGCTTTAATGTTGCAGTTATTAATGAACATGAATTTGCAAGCTCAAACAAAACTGAATTTGAATATGTCAAGCTCAGAACAGATACCGTTTATGAGATGCCAAGTATTCTCAGACTTCTTTTTTAATGTAAAATATCTGTTAAATTCATACAGTGACAATAGATAAACAGTGACTAATATTTATTTAAAACCTCTTGAGGTGATGCTAAATTTTGTGCTGACTGAAGGAACCTTCAGGAAGCCTCTTTCTCCAGTTCCTTATTATAAGGGAGTTCAGACATGCTGTACACACGTAGCTGAACTTGTGATGCCAGGCAAACGTCTTGTTCAGGAAAAGCAAGCAGCAGCAAACTTTGGGAGGTTGCAAAAAAAAATAAAAAAAAATTGCCCCAGATGGCTACAGTAGTTTACATGCTTCCTCTGTTGATTAAATCTGGGGGAGTTGTTGCCATGCAACTGCAAATATATGCAAATGACTGTCCAATTTTTAATGCAGTACTCACAGTGCCAGATAAGAATGAGGGGATCGAGGTTTCAAGCTACACTCAATTATGGGGACTTGAGGACTTTGGTTAATCACAAAATTGTAAAGAATTCCCTCATTTCATTTATTTATTTATACATACATGCATTTAAAATTATTAATACTGCCTATTTCCTGAAACACAAAATGGTTTGCAACAGAGAACACAAAAACAAAACCAATTCCTAAACTAACTAAATTAAGACAGCTCTTCCACCATCAATGGCCAAATGCTCTGAGGAAAAATAAAGTATTCAGGGCCTTCTTAAAGGAAAGAGACACATTTTGTATCAACAAGGCAAGGTGTTTCTGAGTGAAAGCATATTGATGGGCTCTCAATGCCCCCCCCCCTCCATTTCATGTAAGGTTTTGAACACATCCCTCAGAACTCATGGAGCAGGCTAAACCTTACCAGGAAAGATCCTGCAAGTTCCTGGATGATGAGTCACGTAAGGCTTTAAAAGTCTAAATCACCAGCACTGGCTATAGAAGCCATTTGGTAACCAAGAGCTGCTGTAGTATCAGGGTAACCTTGCTAAATTTGCCACCCCTGCTTAGCAGACAGACTGCTGCATTTTCGGCCAGTTGAAGCTTCCATCATCAAAGCCTCAGTATATTACAGTAGTTTAATCTTCTGAGACTAGCTGTAGCAATACGGTACCTCGTCTTCCATTATACGTCACCGAGAATCATTGTGATCAACACGGTGGAAGTATGATTAATAAATACATTTCCCAATGCTTTATCAGTTTGATGCAATAACCTCCTTGAACATACTTTTTATTTCCTAACTTCAAATTTAATCCCTTTCTTTTCCCTCATTGTAAAAACCTCATCATCGTTGAATTATATGTACTCTTGAAATTCTCCAATATTTTTAATCACTTTTGCTTCAAAGGCAAAGAGGGTCTTCAGCTCTCTCTATATTTGTCAAGGTTTATGCATTGGATAGCCAGGTAGGTACTTCTTTCTGATAGCATTAGAAAACAGCCGAACTCTGCACAAGCTGTCTTCTACCCTGCCAGTGCATTATTGCATAGTGAGACCCATGAAGAATAAAAACAGTAATTACAAGCAACCTGTATCTGTGATTCTTTTAAGGTCTTTTGTATAGTGATAAATGCATCCTTATTTGAGGAAGGTGCCATTTTGACCTGCAGGAACAAAGCAGGTATGTTGAAGCCACATGTCCTCAGTAGCTAGTAGCTTGTTCTTAAGTATATATTCAATGATGTTTCATTTTTCCGTTGCTCATTCTTTATTAATTTATAGGACAAGGCTTGTTTTGTGTCACCAAATCAACAGAATATAGTTATAGCATTGTAGGATTTTCAGTTTACTGTTTTTGCTTCCCTTTCCTTACTGCCTCCCTCAGACTGAGATTCATGAAAGCACCTGTCTGGTGTAGGCAATGATAGGGATCTAAAACTTGGTCAAGAGTAGAAATTCTTTTGTTCTTCAAATACCCTAGTAAATAATAGGAATTGGAAAAAGGTGCCTTAAAATTTAAGCCTGACCCACGCAAATGGTAAAAATAATATGGACTGCAATAATAGATGAATAGAAAAATATTTGTACTGTATTGTACAAAAAATATTAATTTTTCATGGTTTGAAATTAACAGTTAACACTATTAAGAGATATATGTATTATGACAACTGAAAAAAAAACGCTTGTTAGCCGGAAAGGCCAAACACAATAAGTATATTGTTGCAGTTTTCTGACAGAATGTGATTGTAGGATTTCATTTTTTTAATTAGATTTATATCCTGCCTTTTGTACAGGAGATCAAGATAGCATACGTAATTCTCTCTCCTCCTGTTTTTCCCTACAATAACCCTGTGAGGCAGGTTGAACTGAAACACAGTGACTGGCCCAAAATTATCCAGTAAGCTGCTGTAGCTGAGGATGGACTAGAACCCGAGGCGTGCCACTCCTTCTCTAACACCTTAACCACTACACCACTATGGCTCTCTCATTCACGTTTAGCATTTGAATAAGAAGTATGTATCTCTACAATCTGCCTACCCTGATTAAGTAAAGATCTTGAGCAATTTTCTGTCTGTAGTTTATTATGTAAATAGGTTCCATTTTGTATTGTTTTTAATATTTGCATGTAAACTGGATTAAAACATAATATTGAGAAAAGTGGGGGCAGGGTTAAATGCAATATTTAACTTTCCTAACATGCCTACAAAAATTGAATTTTGAAACAGCAATAAGACAAATTTTAGTTTTTCTTAACTCTGTAAAGGTATAACTTCTAAAATTAATTTCTGCTATGTATCTATGTAGGCACTATTTTGATTAGTCATTACCATTAATTGCTTTTCAGGTTTTGCTACATTACTTTAAAATTAGAATAGAGAATAAAATCCTCCTGGGTAGGCATTAAAAACTAAACATGCATTAGATGTTCTTGCTTGGTTCAAATATGAAATTAATTCTGCACGGTAGGTAGAATAAAAGACCTGTGAGCTCTCAAGAATTTACTTAGTTTATTCCTTTCTTTGGAGATAAGCTCTATTCATATATTATTATGAGCTGAGATTATTATCCGAAGTGGCCGAGGCTGCATCTTCTGCTCCTGCCTTGTCCAGTTTTGATAACACCTTGATCTCTTTTTTCTTATACAGTTGCATCACAGACTAACTAGGTTTCTGTAATATACAGTAGCTATAATTGGGAG